TTGTCAGCACCAACTTTTCAACTCCCGAAGCGACGCTTAATCGTTTCTCTACGTACGAATCCATTGATAGAAAAGACTACGAGATGAAGCCCACAGAGATACGGGCAGTTGAAGCCTTAGGCCTTGGTTTCGATTTGGCCAGTGATTTCCGGCTCAAGTTCGTGAAAAGATGCCCCGACGGTGGCAGATTAGTGAGTTTAGATGAGAGGAATAAGAGGGACGTCGTGATTCCAGGACTCGGGGGCGTCACGATTCCCGACGTACCAGATTGCATTCGGGTCGATAAAGGAGACCACATTAGGTTTAAGTCCGATGTTCTCCAATTTAATCAGGTAATACTTTAATTTTCCTTTCCTTTTTGTTTTTTGTGAATTTATGTATACGAATATTGTGTAATAGGTTGATTATGAATTTTTTTGAGCTAAAAATATATGCTTGGTGAGATGTTTACCACAACAGCTTTTAATGAATTTGAAGTGCGATAAGATGGAGTCGTATCTTTTTGCACTAATAGTTGAACTCTTATTTCGGTCAGAGCAAGATACAACTTTTTAAGCACAAGGTACTGCGTGTTAAACATATCAATGTGTTTCTATTTTAGTTTTTGATGAAGGCGAGACATGATGATTATTACTTAATACAGTATTATACATGTAATAGTGTTGATTATGAGTTTTGGAGCAAAAATGTAATGCTAAAGCATAATATGATTGCTGATGACGCATAAGATTGAGGAATAGCGTTTAATGAATTTGAAGTGCAATAAGATGAGCTGTACTCTTATTTCTGTCGGAGCAAGATACAACTTTTGAAGCACGAGAAATCTCTATATTTGGTATTATAGTTTTTGAAGGAAAGGGTAATTCTACATATATGATGTGTATATGTATGATAATGTTGACTATGATTTTTGGAGCTAAAAATATAATGCGTATGCATAGCATGCATTTGAGATAGAGCAGGGGAGAAGTGAAAATATGAAATAACATAGGATTGTTTGTTTGTTTGTGTTTCAAATGGTTATTAAATTGATCGAAGGGTGATGCTGATCCTACACATACGGTTCACAATAAATATTTCTCCTTTTTAAACTCAATTTACTTTCATCTCCTGGATTTTCATAAAACTTGATCTTTTAAAATATGATGGTGAGAAAATGCAGAAATACTGACTGCTCGAGCCACTGAGGCAGCATGGTAGAGCTGGAGACCCCATAATGGGTTCTGTGGTAGATAAGTATCTCTGAATGTGCTGAGTGTTTCTTAGTCCTCTGTAAAGGATGGAGGAGAAAGAACTTGGAGAATAATAAAGGCACTCGAAAGTGAAGCCTAATATTATTTTCCAACCATGTAGAGCTAATGAAGCTGTCACTTTATGGCTGATAATTTCATGTTTTCTGTTGCTTTTTCCTTCATATACTGAAAAAAGAACAAAACAATGGAAATGATCATGCCTTAAAGAGAAAGTATTCATGGATGTCAAGTCCTATTTTATGTCTAGTTTTAATAGTCAGATAACATAGCAAGAAACTAAGGATTCAGGATTAAGATTTTAACTTCAAATGCTGGCAGATCCGTTAGAGGGAACATGAAAGGAACACTACTTGCAAATGGATTCTCCTCAAGAAAAAGTGATGAATCTTGCCTATGAATTCATTAAGTTGTTTAAGCCTTTGAAAAATACCAGCGACTGGCTGACTCGTGAAAATAAACTTTTTGGCATACCTTATTTTCTGCATTTGAATTGAATTCATTTATGGAAGTTTAGTAGTCCGGTCATGGTTTAAAAAAACCCAATGGAGGCCCGCCTCAGAGTGAGACGAGCACAAAACTCCTCAAGGCGAGGATTGCAAGGCAGTTTTTGGAAGCGTACACCTTAGTTGAGTGAGGCATACTCATCACTGCACTGTCTAAATGCTTTTGAGCAGTACACTCCTTAATTCTCGGACTTATTTCCTTTGCTTTAGGAATGGACCCACAAAACATGAAAATAACATGAAAATTTTAATTGATGGAATAGCCTATTGCCCACTAAAATATTAAGCCCCTGTTTGGACGGAATTAAAATTAGATTTTTAGTAAATTTTGATAAAAATTGAAGAAATGTGTGGTTGAAAAGTTGTCCCATGAAATATGTGGTTAAATTTAATTGTTGATTTTGAAACAAGGGCTAAATATTATGTTGATCATAGGCCCACCTTGGGTCCATCACAAACCAATCAAAATAATAGTATATTTTTTGTTACTTTATATATATATTGACAATTTTTTTTTTTTGGTTAAGGTGAGGCTTAATCCTCACCGTAAGATGCCTTAGTACCCAATTACACCCTTTTAAACATTGAGTGTAGTAACACCACTATACTATGTAATAGAGAACAAAATAAAGGAAAACCTCCAAAATTGTGGTCTATATTCACCTTTTACATACGTTCTTTTGGTTCAATCAACAAGTTGACATATAAAATTCTGCAGAGTTTTAACTCTTCATTTCTTATGGCAGATGTCAGAGCTACTTAATCAAAAATCATCAGTACAGGGGAAAATTCCTTCAGGATACCTTAATGCTATTTTTGATTTAACTGGAGCCTGGTTGAATGATGCTTCTGACACCAAGTATCTAGCCTTTGATGGTTATTTCATTTCACTTTACTATTTGCACCTTA